GATGCAGCCTATACTCCTCTGCTGCCCTGAAAGATAAGTTGCAAATGCAGAGGTACCCTGTAATATTTTGCAACATCTTCACTAAGACTGATACGCAACAAGTAATTGGTTTTTAGCTCACTGGGATCTTTGAAGATGCTTTGTACAAGTCCCCTCCCTCCCTCCCGTCCAGATTCAGAGTAGGAGCTCTACTCACACAGACTATTGGATGTATAGGAGCAGTAGGAAAAGTGCCTGAAAAGCTTGGCTGTATTGATTCCCCATTTGCAGTGTGCCAGTTGAGCATTTATCGTCTTACACAGGACTAGGGTTGCCAAGTCCATCTTCCACCCCCAGCGGGGGACTTTGTGGGCATTCCTGGAAGGGGTGGGGCATCCCCAACGTGATGACATCATGTTTGGCACGTCTACCACCCCCCCACACACCCGGCCGTGCGCCGGATCTCCAGAAACAGCAGTTCTCTGTACTTAAAGTAGCCGGCAGCTGACGTTTCCCCTTTAAGAGAAGCTGCGTTTCCCTTTTAAGAATGAAGCTGGCTTTTCCCTGCAAGCTTGCGGAGTTCGCGGTTGGGATGAAACATGGGTTGCACACCCTTAAAGGGAGAGAGATGGGTGGCTGTGGGTGTTGGGGGTGGGGCTTCCCCTGCCAGCCATCTGGCCGGCGGCGGGTAGAACCCCCCCAAAACGGGGGACCCCTGGCAAACCGGGGGGCTTGGCAACCCTACACAGGACAGCTTCTGGGATGCTGCTGTAATCTGTTGAGTGACAGATCAAAAGCTGAATCCTGCATATAGTGACAGAAGAATGTGGCAAACACATTTTGAGCTTCTAGCCCATTTGGGCAGACTCTCCCTATGTCAACCGTGGCCCCGGGCCAGATAACGCCGGGGTGGGGGGAGACGTGGCTGTTCGCCCTGGAGCAAAATAAAGCGCGGTAGCCCGATCACACGGTCCCCCGAGTCTCCATGCTTAGGCTGTTAGCTGGCAATCACATGGCGATGCTGCAGCGTGGCAAAGAAGTGGCGCGGCGCGATCACATTAGCGTTTCGTGTGTGCGCGCATGCGCAGTTCCATGGAGCAGCACTGCTTTCAGTTTCGTGTTTGTGCGCATGCGCTTATGAAAAACATCCAGTTTGCAACAGGATGTGGACGGGCGCTGGGTGCCACGGGATACTAGCGCTCCCGCGATCAGACACCCACCTGTGCCGCGCGTTTTCCGGATACTAGTGCACTTTCCTTGGTACTTTTTAACTCCGCATCGTCGCCAGGACGCCATGGGTTGGCCACAGGTGCACTACACTTCCCAGGTGTTGCGGTGTGACTGCACCCCGAAAATACGCCCGACATTAGTGTCTTTCGCGCGGCAAAATCTCCGTGTGACCAGAGCCCATGTAATCTTTTCAGCAGGCCTTTTTGCAATAGTGATCTTGTAGGGAATTTCAAACATCACAGTTGTAAAATCAACATATTCTTTAAGAGAGGTGACAAGTATGGGGGTGGGGAGGGAGTAGTAGCAATCCTATCTGTAGTACCACAAAATGATAGTGCCCAGCTTATTCACTGGATTCATTTTTGGGAAATGCCTGGGTATTCTGCAAAATGGTTATGCCTTCCAAGATGACTGGGTTTGCCTTCATTCTGCCAAATTTGAACTTCAGAGCCTAGCTAGACAGTTTCTCCTAAGCACCATCACAGCTGAAAGGATTGTAATTGATGCTATTCATTGTTAGCTGCCTGAGGCAGTAAAACTGAGGGCATTGCCCCGCTCCCTTTAGAAGCCAAAGGATCATAATTTGATCTATCTCATCTCAGAATCTAAACCCTGACAGCTTGACTTCCTGCATTTAGGAAGACACGCAAGACAGGTTTATTCTAGAGGGCATTTGATAGAGTTTTTTGGCAGATCTGGCTGTGTTTTTAATCTGTGTGCTGTCTTTACTTTTGTTAATGTGTTTAGGCTTTTGTGCCCTTGCAGCTTATTGTCTAAGAAAATTAAGTGAGGTATAAATATTTTAAATAAACAATATTTTATGCCCAATGAGAACAGCTCTTGTAAAACGTAAAAACTAATCTATAGCAGTACTAATCTTATGAAGCCTCTTTAACAGGAAGTTTTTAGAAAGGCACACTTGAACGTTGTTTTTGCTACTTCTAAAGTATGCAAGCGAGAAAAACGGGAATCCTCCTGTTCCCAACAGATTGACTAAAATAATCACAAATGGCTTTACTTTTGGCCCAACTTGGTTGTGATCTCAACATTTACTTTCAGCAAAGATGGCTCTTTGATTAGCTGTTCATATTTTCATTAGCTGCAGAGGGTTGTGGGGTTTTTTTGCTGCTGCTGCTACCCGTCAAGATTTTAGATGCTGGATATACAGAAAAAGCTAGAGTCCAGTATTTAAATTGAATGTTCTGAAAGTGTACTTGGTTTTAAACCAAATCAGATGATTTATTTTAAGTAAGAAATCAGAATTATCCTTGGAGTGTCATCGTGTTTCCCCTGCCTTTTACAGAAAGTATTTTCTCCCCCATGTGGGACTAGTAACCACTTTAGAAAGTTAGGTTGCTTCTCCCACTGGGGACAACACATAACATAAATTACTGGAAAGCTGGTAATCCCGCACTGGTAATATGGATTAATGGATAGGAAATTGGCCTTGGACTCTGTCTGGGGTCACATTAGAAAGCTTGAGGCTATGCCAACAATAGATTACACTAGATCACTCATGGGATTCATTCCAACTCTACAAAAGGTCACCCTGTCTGCTTTGTGCTATCGTGATGACCATACGTCAGTTATCCCTTCCAGGGAATAGTAATATATTCTCTTAACCCAATCTAGATTTTCAAAATCAAGACCTTAACAACAAAATAATTCCTTCCATACAAACTCTCCCTTCCCTTTCAGACTGCTTTCCCCCCAAAAAAAAACATGCTTTTAACGATTCTTTATAGTTATAACAATGCTGATTAAAACAATTGTCCAAAACCATTCTGTAGGAATCCATCACAGCTGACAGGGTTGTAATTGATGCTAGTTGTTGTTGTCCCGAGGCAGGGAGGCTAAGGACACTTAGCCTCCCTGCCTCTGCTCTCCCTCCCCTTTAGAAGCCAAAAGATCATAATTTGGTCTGTCTACCTTGACAACTTCATATACATGCTTGTGTGCAGGGGTCTTTTTGTAGAAAAAGAGCTGCAGGAGCTCATTAGCATACGGTATGCTAATGACGTACTAGGCTATTAGCATAATAGCTCATTAGCATATGCAACGCCCCCTGACATCACTGGAAGTGATGTCAGAAGGGGAAGCAAAAGGGGGGGGAAGGCATCTTCAAAAGCCTCCCCTCCCCTTCCCGGGGGGGGAAGCAAAGAGAGAAGGGGTTTAAAGTTTAAACCCCTTCTCACTAGAGTTGGGCCACAGAAGGAGGAAAGGAGGAAGGAAAGAGAGCGAGAGAGTAGAGAGAAGGAACGAAGGAAGGAAACAGGGAAAGAAAGGGAAAGATAGAAAGAAAGAAAGAAAGAAAGAAAGAAAGAAAGAAAGAAAGAAAGAAAGAAAGAAAGAAAGAAAGAAAGAAAGAGGGAAAGCGAGAGAAGGAAAGAAGAAGGAAAAGAGAGGAAGGAAGGAAGGAAGAGAAAAGAAAGAGAGAAAGAAAAAGGGGAAAGAAAAGTAGGGGAAGGAAAGGAGGGAAAGAAAGAGGGCAAAGAGATGGGGGAGGGTCTCCCGGTCTCCCACCCCCCCTCACTCCCCAAATCAAGCCTCTGCCCCCCCCCGCAGATCCCTCACTTACCCCGGGAGGCGGCAGGGAGCGTCCTCTGGCCTCCTCTTTGCTCCCTGGGGCTCGTGCTGAAGGGCGGCGACCCCAAGGAGGTGGCGACGGGCCTCCTCTTCACTCCCTGGGGCTGCTGCGCTCCGACGCGAGATCGCAGGAGCACTAGTATCCCATGGCATCTGGCGCCCATCCACGTCCCGTCGCAAACTGGATGTTTTTCGTAAGCACATGCACACAAACATGAAACTGAAAGCAGTGCTGCTCTGCAGTGAAACGCTTGTGTGATCGCGCCATGCTGCTTCTTTGCCACGCTGCAGCATCGCTGTGTGATCGCCAGCTAACAGCCAAAGCACGGAGACTCGGGGGACCATGTGATTGGGCTACCGCGCTTTATTTTGCTCTGGGGCGAACAGCCACGCCTCCCCCCCACGTTATCTGGCCTGTGTGACCGGAGCCTTAGCTAGTCTGCATATGTACTTGGCAACTCTGTTTCCTTCAGTACCTTTGCTTGAACAAGTTCAGTGTCTGGTTTGGAAGTGTTACAGGATTGACCAAAAGGGATGGCAGTGGCTAACTTTGATACCTCTGCTCCTTCAGCACATGTTTTTATACTACTTGGAGCATGCAGTTTAGGCCCTATCCTATTTGTATGGACCTCAGTATGAAAAGGAATCCCCTGTCAATCTTGTCCTTAGTGCTTATTTAGTACAGCTGCCTGTGTCTTTCCATGGTGCATTTTCAAACAGGTTTGTCTTCCAATACAACTTACACTCAACTGAAACTAGCATTAAAATCAAGAAGGGTTCAGTTTCATCGCCTCCTTTCCCCCCTTGTGGATGCACTGCTTTACAGCAAACAAATGGAGGCGGGGGGGACACACATTCTCAGGACTCGCAATGCTCCCTCTAAGCTGTAGAGTCTTGTGAGCAAAAATTCTGCTTTGCGAGCTACTGGCATTAAAGTTGTGGGCGGGCGATTTGGCTGCTGTATAAATTAGCCTGCACTGGAGCCACATCCTTCCTGAGCTAAGATAAAAATGTGTGAGCCGGAGGCTAAAAAACAGTGAGCTGGCTCACACCAACTCAGCTTAGAGGGAACACTGTGCAGGAGCTGCCTTAAAAGTCACTGGTGGTATCTCAAGTCTTCTACTTTGCTCCTGTATTGTTTCATAGCTGACTGGGTAATACAGAAGGGACAGTTTCATTCTTCTTTTTATACCTATTTTTTTCAGGTGCCGAAGATGTGCACTTCGAAGCGGGTACTACTGCTGGCGCTCACCTTCTTGGCATATGTGGTGGATTCTGCCTCTGCGTACAGCCATGCGGAAACCCTCTGTGGTGGAGAGTTGGTGGACACACTGCAGTTTGTCTGTGGGGACAGAGGATTTTATTTTAGTAAGTATCTTTGGCACGTGAAAGGAAGTGAGAAGTGTTTTTCACATTATCTCAGCAGACCTCACTACAGCCCTGTAAAGTAGGCCAGTGTTATTTTAAGATGACAGGTTGAGGCTGAGCTGGTCAGTTACCAAAGGCCGCCTTGTCACCCATACTTGGGGTGAAATTTCCTGATTGTTGCTTATCCCAGGCATTATAATGCAATGTGATTAGGATGAACACATGAATTTGCCTTATACTGAATCAAACCATTGGTCCATCAAACCAGTATTGTCCAGTCAGACTGGCAGTGGCTCTCCAGGGTCTCAGACTGAGGTCTTTCACATCACCTAGTACTACCTAATCCTTACTGGAGATCAGGGGTCATTTCGTAGAAAAAGAGCTAGGGGGACTCATTAGCATCTCATTAGCATATGCCACACCCCCTGACATCAGGGGCCCGGCGGTGGACCTGCAAGGCCGGCGGGAGTGCGAGGAAGCCCCGCCAAGGCCCTCCCTGGCCCCAGGCAGGCAGGGGTGGGGAGAGGCGGGGAGGAAGCCACTTACCCTCCCTCTTCTCCTGCCTCCTCCTGGCTGAATGAGGGCTGGAAGCGGGGCGACCGGAAGCAGGGGGCAGGGCTTCGTCATGTGCCCCGCCCCCTGCACCTCACCCGGGGGAACTGCGATCCCCCGCATTCCCCCCCCCGAAATGACCTCTGCTGGAGATGCTGGGGATTGAACCTGGGACCTTCTGCATGCCAAGCAGATGCTCTACCACTGAACCATGGCGCCTCTCCTAACCTGTGCTTCTCTCTATAAAAATGATGAGAGAAGTTCTAGCGGTGGGTATCCACCAAACAATACTCTTAATCTTATTTGGCACCTAGTTATCAGGTCTTTTAAAGCACAAGCAGTGGCTCTCTGCGTTCCTTCAGGGTCGGGGACAAAGGGTGGCCATTGGGGAACAGCTATCCAGAAGGCACCTGCTTATTTGCGGAGTGCCCCAAGGAGCGGTGTGCTCCCCAATGTTATTCAGCATCTATATGCACATCCTTGCCCAGATTGCCCAGAGGTATGGTCTGGGTTGTCACCAATATGCGGATAACACCCAGCTCTATCTGTTGTTGGACGGCCAGTCAGACTCTAGTCTGGGAGATCTGGACCTGGCGTTGAAAGCCATGGCTGGTTGGCTCAGACTGAGTCGACTGAAATTGAATCTGACGAAGACAGAGGTCCTGTGCCTGAGTCGGAGCGGGCCAAGGCTAGAAATCCCTCTCACGACCTTCGATGGGATGCCACTGGTGCCAGCACTGGATGTTAGGAGTCTGGGAGTGCTCCTGGATGCCTCCTTATTGATGGAGGCCCAGGTAGCAGCCACTGCGAAGTAGAGATGTGAGGGCCAGGAAAAAACTGGAAAAAATTGGGGGGGGGGAGAGAACGTTTCCCCCCCGAAAAATTGGAAAAATTGAAAAAAGAAAAGATTATGGAACGTTTTATTTTAACATGATGAATAAAATATTTTAAGACAAGGTGTTCAAACATTTTTCAAATCATTTCTAAAAAAATATGTATGGTATCAGATTGATCTAATTTCTGTGCACTGAGGACAAGCAAGTCCTAGGTTACAAACTGAACTCTCCAATGCAAGAACAAGATGCATTTCTTCCTTTAGGAGGTGCTATTGTCACAAGAAAAGAAAAAGGTTTCGGTTTTGTTCTTGCATGTGGTGGCTATTCTGTTTGTAATAATTGTTTGGATACACTATATTTTGAATATGCTAGTTGTGATAATTTCATGCCAAGTAAAATGTCCATAGTCACATTTTATGTTCCTAAACTAACAGAATGACTTTCAGTCTGGAAAAGAAAATAAGAAGTGCTAATTTAGAATTTTTGTTCAATTTTTCCGAAAATTTCCGTTTCCCCCCGAAAAAAACCTGGTTTTTTTCCCAAGCTTCAAAATTTCCGGAAACTTTACATCTCTACTGCAAAGTCTGCCTTTTACCACCTACGGCTGATTAAGCAGTTGGTTCCCTTCCTTGAACGCAATGATCTCGCAACAGTGATCCATGCAGTGGTCACCTCGAGATTGGACTACTGTAATGGGACTGCCCTTGTCCCAAATCCGGAAGCTGTAGCTGGTGCAGAATGCAGCGGTGAGGCTGTTGTGTTTTCCTATGTGGGAACACATCCAGCCTGCCCTAAAAGCACTGGACTGGCTGCCTATAGCATACTGGATTCGGTTCAAGGTGCTGGTTCTTACCTTTAAAGCCCTATATGGTCAGGGACCTACTTACCTAAGAGACTGCCTTTCCCCATACGTTCCCCAGAGAGCACTAAGACCGGGATCCCAAAACCGTCTGGCTCTCCCAGGCCCTAAAGAAGCCAGGCTAACTGTGACGAAGGCCAGGGCCTTTTCTATGGTGGCCCCTTACTGGTGGAATGAGCTCCCGGATGACATCAGGGCCCTGCGTGGCCTTTTACAGTTCCCCAGGGCCTGTAAGATGGAGCTCTTCCACCAGGCTTTCGATTAGGGTACTACCTTTTTATATCGTGGCCCTGGCCCCAGCATCAGCACTAATGTAACAACTAACAGCCTGACAAGAACCCCGATTATGATGGTAGTTGACCAACTGGATGTTGAGATGATGAAGAAGAAGAGATTGGATTTATACCCCGCCCTTCACTACCCAAGGGAGTCTCAGAGCGCCTTACAAATCCTTTCTATTCCCCTCCCCACAACAGACACCCTGTGAGGTAGAAGAAGAAGAAGAGATTGGATTTATACCTTGCCCTTCACTACCCAAAGGTGTCTCAGAGTTGTTTACAAACTACTTTCCCTTCCCCTCCCCACAACAGACACCCTGTGAGGTAGGCAGGGCTGAGAGAGCTCTGACAGAAACTGCTCTTTTTCCAAGAACAGCTCTTGTCAGAACTACGGCTTGCCCAAGGCCATCCAGCCAGGTGCAAGTGGAGGAGTGGGGAATCCAACCCGGTTCTCCCAGATTAGAGTCCACGCACTTCACCACGACACCAAACTGGCTCTCCAGATGTTCTCTGGATGAGAGAACATCGCCATCTTTTATTAATATTTATGTTCCTTAAAACCTAAATTTTATATGATGTGGTTTTAATCTAACTTCTGTGTCTTAACGTATCTTCTTGTTTTAATATTTATGTCTGTTCTGTAAGCCGCCCTGAGCCTGCCACGGCAGGGAGGGTGAGAAACAAATTACACAAATAAAATAATAATAAAACCAGAGAGCAAATTGAATTTTGAAACACTACTTTCTAAATTGCAGTGTGTAATCTTGAATAAATCGAATACCAGCCTTGGGGGGGAAAAACACCAAACTCGTTGAGCTCTGTTTTAAGTTTAATAGTTGCATTCAGTGTTCCCTCTAAGCTGAGTTAGTGTGAGCTAGCTCACAGTTTTTTAGCCTCCAGCTCACACATTTTTGTCTTAGGAAGAATGGCTCCAGAGCAAACTAATTTATGCTGTAGCCAAATTGCGCTCTCTCAACTTTAATGCCAGTTGCTCACAAACAGGGGTCAATTCGGGGATCGTGAGGGATCGTCGTTCCCCCGGGTGAGGTGCGGGGGCGGGACACACGACGAAGCCCCACCCCCTGCTTCCAGTCAGGGTAAAATGGCGATTTGACGCACCCTGTAAGTGCTCAGGGTGGACGGGTGTTCCTTACAGCAGTTTGGACTGTATTTTGGTCCAACGTAGCTTCCCCCAGGCAGGGGGAATGACTGGCAGGCATCAAGACCCAAGAGAGAGTTGAGATTGGTGTGATCATGTCATGGAGGAGGCTTGTATTACACTTTGATCCCCTCTCCCGAAGCGGGCGAGCGCATTCAGGGGGTGTGGCCTTATGACACACTTCTGGTGATGTCAGGGGGTGTGGCATATGCTAATGAGTTATGCTAATGAGTTCCCCTAGCTCTTTTTCTATGAAACGACCCCTGCTCACAAAGTGAATTTTTGCTCACAGGAATCTACAGCTTAGAGGACGCATTGGTTGCATTAGGTTTCTTCTTTGACCATGTCGCTTAGAAGCATATCTAAAAAGAACCCTGTGTAGATCTAAACTGTTGGCATCTTTGACTGCTTCGTGTTCCTTCAAAATTTTATGGAGTGTCATGTTGTATCATATCAGTGTTAGCACAATGCGCACACATGATATATTTAAAAATAGACACAAATTAACCTAGTTCAACCAGCCAGTTTCCATTTTGGACACAATAACCTGGAAGTGCAGCTACATTTCTTTAGCCCCACATCTCAAAACAGAGAGGGAGAATGTTTGTCGGTACTGCTTTTCTCTTCTTTCACTACCAAACTTCAGTTACCTGTTTATAACAGACCTGGAATGGGGGGGGGGAGTGTTTATTTGACAAATGTTCGCTCTCATCTCGGGAATTCACTGAGCCACATTGTCTTGCTTTGTTCTCCTTACTGATGAAGAACTAAGGAGATATATTATTTATATCAGGGCTCTTTTTGTAGAAAAAGCCCAGCAGGAACTCATTAGCATAATAGGCCACACCCAACAGCAGGAACTCATTAGCATATTGGGCCACACCCCTGACAGCACAGCTCATTAGCACATTAGGCTGCACCCCTACGTTACCAGAAGTGTGGTCATCCAGCCACACCCACCTTTTTCTTGTTATTCTGTTTACCTTGTTTGTTGTCAAAACCCAGGGCTCTTTTGTAGCAGGAGCTCCTTTGCATGTTAGGCCACACACCCCTAATGTAGCCAATCCTAATGAGTTTCTGCTGCTGAGTGTGGCCTATTGTGCTAATGAGTTCCTGCTGGGTGTGGCCAGCTTGGGAGCCAGCCGGAATTCCGTTCCTGTGCGTTCCTGCCCAAAAATAGCCCTGAATTAATTTTCTATCTCTTCTGACCCCGCTAAGAGCTTGGGGGGCAATGTATAAAGATCCCTGCAAGGTAGTGGGTGGCCCCAGGTCACCTGTTGAAATTCATGGCAAAGTGGAGGTTTTTGAACCCTGGTCTCAGTCGTAGTCCAGCTACTACAACGTGGGAAACGGTCCCATTTATCCAGTGTCTATCTTCGAAGTGATACTGAAATCTGATGTTCTGTTTAGTAAACCCTCACATTGAAAAGGGGATGTGGAATGATATAGTGTAGCCCAGACTCAGAAGCTAAGCGGGGTCGGTACGTGAATGGGAGACCACCAATGAACACTTTGCAGAGGCCAGTGGCAACCCCTGTGGCTTGATGGCGCTCTGCGCACACGCGTTCACACACCTGCTTGCTTTACGTATTTGATACAAAAGTATTTCATCTCCAAGATGTGGTGTGCTGCCTCTGTGCTTCTAATAATTCCTGCATTAATTTGGTATTGGGAAGGACAGCAGGAAGGGTTAAAAAATTCTCCGTGGATGCAAGGAGGGCACATTTACCTTTAGCATTGCATTTTAAAAGAACTGAAGGTAGTAGTTAATTTCCAAAGAGATGAACTTGGACTGAGCCTTTCCAAAAGCTGAACTCTCTCTGATCTGAAGACCTTGGCCCCTAATCCTAATGAGCAGTGGTTACTCAGTAGTGAGGAAACGTGTTCAGCATAAGCAAACCTGTCTCCAGTTGCTTCATCTTCAAGGGGTGAGAGCTGGGAATGAAAATCTCCAGCCCGCACCCCCCAAAAAAAAACACGATCATGCTAGTACCAAAGCCACTAGCTCACTGACAACTTCATAACACATTATCATATCCATAACCAGGGATCATTTCCTGCAGGAGCACACAGGAGCGGAGTTCCGGCAGTAAAGAGCCCAGGGGGCGGGCACATGCAACAAGCCCCACCCCCTGCTCCCAGCAGCCCTCAGTCAGAGCAAGAAGCAGCCAGGTAAATTGCAGAGCCCCCCCCCCCCCCGGCCCAAAACAATCCAGTGGCACCTTTAAGACCAAATTTTATTCAGGTACAAGCTCTCCCTCCTCTGTGAGGACAGATCTGCATGCCCCCCCCAATAGCTAGCAATCCAAAACAGTCCAGTGGCGCCTGAGCGGTGGGTGTTTCCTTCCGACACACTTCTGGTGATGTCAGGGGGTGTGGCATATGCAAATAGGTTATGCTAATGAGTTATGCTAATGAACTCCTGCACCTCTTTTTCTAAGAAATGACCCCTGTCCATGACCATCAGACCTGATACCTTTTTCATGTAGACAGTTGAATGTTTCTCCTTCTGAAAAGGGTCCTCCTAGGCCAGTGATGGCGAACCTTTTAGAGACCAAGTCCCCAAACTGCAACCCAGAATCCACTTATTTATCGGAAAGTGCCAACACGGCAATTTAACCTGAATACTGAGGTTTTACTTTAGAAAAAACAACTCATACATTAACTTAGGATGATCCAAACAAAGTAAGGAAAGCAATCCCAAATGCTTTCATTTACTTAAAATTATTTGGCAGAGAATTCGACACTTTAATGATGGTCTGGACCTGGCTGGGGTGATGGCACGCGTGCCCACAGAGAGGGCTCTGAGTGCCACCTCTGGCACCCGTGCCATAGGTTCGCCACCACAGTCTTGTGCCCTTTAAATTCCAGTTATGACCAATACCATCAAAGGTCAGGACCCTAGCTTGAAGCAATTCATCATAGTGCCATTGAAATCAGACTAACAGCTCAGCTCTTGAAAGTTTGTTATTTTTAATAATAATAATTTAGTTTAATAATAATAATTTAATAATTATATTAATAATAATATATATTGGGGCAAGGGGATCTGGTGGCAGTACTGAAGAGAGATGAAATGACCCCTGTAGAGGAGCTTTTAATGAACAACAAAGCCAATTAATGTTTGTCCTACGCCACTTTTATAACAATGGCCACTTGAACCAGTGCGAAAGGATTGAGAGAAATGTTGCAGAAGCATCATCTTCTGTTGCTTTTACGCTCATCACCATGGGCATGAACTACAGGAAGGAGTCGGGTGCCGAGCCAATGAGGAATACATTATTCCAGATCAGAGGGGGCTAAGCTCTTTTTAAAAAATGGGCAAAAAATATTGTATCTGCCTGTGTCTTCCTAGACGAGGAAGAGATGATGGATTTGATGGGGAGGGGGAGAAAGAGGCATCTGACTTATTTGTAAACAGCTCCTGTTTCTTCCTTTCCAACAGCTGATAAGAATTTAGCTCTTTCCAGCCACTTATGCTGACAAAGCACATTCTCTCTCTGCATCCCTCAGAATAATACTAGGAAAAAGAAAGGGGGGGGGGAAGAGAAGCTATTTTGGGGGAGGGGTTTGGAACAATGGCTGCTGCTGCCCAGCTCTCTGACAAAGGCCTTCTTGTTGGTGCCCACATTCCTCTGACAGGGGGAAAGCGGATTGTTTACACCCAAAGTCTTCTTCCGCTTGGATTAGTGCTTGATTGATCAGACAGAAGCGGTGGCTAAGGGGTGTGTGAGGGAAGGGGGCACAGGCTTTGGAGTCGTTTGCAATTATTCGGAAGTGTGTCACAAATTTCCCTCTACGCTACAGACATCCACCCGCCACCCCACTTCCTCAATACCCACATGGGTATTTGCAGTACTGAGTAACCTTGGGCAACATTATGAAAAGGCTGTTTGCAGTTCCTGTTTGGGGGGTGGGGAGCGCCAATTGAAAGAGGAACGGTTCAAGAATCTGTGTCTAGCTGCTGTGTCCACATACTGTGTCCTTTGCTCTAGACACAGAACGCAGGTGCTGGATATGCTGGTGAACATGACCCTGTTCCTTCTCTTGAGAGGAAGTTCAGAAGACAGAGAAGGGGTCAAATGAAGGTGGCTGATATAGTTTTATTTCTGAAAGTGAGCCTGGCTGATATCGTCTGGACAGGAGGTGATGTCCAGAGATCCCGCATGTACCATTCCATGAGCAAAGAATCTCTTAATGTCGATTGAAATAAGCTAAAATGGGAAGACAGTGTATAAAATCTGCAAAGGAGATGACCTGTGCTCTTCTGAGAGTCTTTCAGATCTCCCCTCAGCCAGGTGCTCTTAGGTCAGTGTCCAGTCTGTGATATGGGAATAATAATACCATACAGGGCTGCCAAAGGAACTACTGAGAGTTCGAATGCTTACGAGTACTATTAAAATGTTAAGCATTATTGGGGGGGGGTGTGCCAACTAGTCTGCCTTCTGTAGTAGCATTTTCCTTAGTTAAACAGCACGCTACCACATTTCTCTATGCGTCACAGGCTAAATTCTTAGGAATATCCCCATCTTGACATGAATTCGCGAACTAATTGCGTATTTTTATAACCTCAAATTGTTCTTCAGCCACTGTTTCCAGAGGTAACTTTTGTGGTGGAATACTTCTAGTTGTTGTTGTTGTTTTCCTGAGAACATCTCTGATGGAAGGCTGATTTTGATTTTGGACCCCAGCAAACCCGTGTCCACTTGTGTAATTTGAAATATGTGGTACCAGTCTTGAAAGGAAAACAGATGATGGTGACTAACCTAGAAAAGTATAATTCTGGTAGGGTTGCCAAGTCCTTACCTGTTGCAGAGCAGGGGAGTCCAGTCTCGTTCCGGGAGTCTATGTGTGCGTGCACCGCAATTACGTCACCCGTAAGTGACAAAATTACGTCGGGCATGTTGGGGGCGGGGCCACAATCATCTGAGGGAAAACCATAGAGTTTTCCCTCGGATGATTGTGGCCCCGCCCTCACCGTGCCCGACGTGATTGTGTCACTTCCGGGTGATGTGCTGATGCTGGGCATGTCACATGCTTTGGGGGTGGGGTTTCCCCCGGGGCCTGATCCACCGGCGGCGGGTAACGGGCCTCTCAGGTGGGGGTTTCCCCGCCCCCCAGGGGGACTTGGCAAGCCTAAATTCAGGTGGGGTAGCCATGTTGGTCTGAAGCAGCTGAACAAACTTTGAGTCCAGTGGCACCTTTAAGGCTAACAAAGATTTATTCAAAGTGTAAGCTTTTGTGTGCAAAGATGTGTGCTTTGCACGTGAAAGCTTATACTCTGGATAAAACTTTGTTGGTCTTAAAGGTGCCACTGGACTGAAACTTTGTTGTAGAAAAGTATAGTCATTTCAGGGAGGGAAGGTAGAAATATCCATAACAGAAGACATACACAGGGGTTTCTTAAATTTTTCCAAGGTTTTATCTAGCAGTCATTCTTGGAATAAGTATGGTTGTGCAGTCTTAACTCCAAAGCTTTGTTAATCATCTTCTGTCAATATTGAGGGTACTTGTGTCTGAAGTGTTGTGCACAGGCTTAGTTTTTCCTCTGCCAGCACCACATGTAATCTTCTCAAGGGAGCAGGATAACATGACAGACCCTGAGAAGAGTTTATAAAAGAATGCAAATATATCCAACAGTGATTGTGCCTTAAGTAGTAACAGAATAAGTGTATGACATTGTAAAAATTTATCAGTCGGTTGACAAGCTACATATTTCAGTAGAGCTCATTACTAATATTTTGGAGTTAAACACATTAAAATGAAAGTCTATTTGCATGTAATAATTTGTATTTGGCAGTCTAGTCCTGCACGTAGCAAGCAAGTGGTGCAGGCTTGGTTTAGAATATTCAGTTTTGCCCCCCACCCCACACACTACTTTATAAAACATTATTACAATTCTTTATGCATTTCCCCTAAATGCAGAATCCCCTTAGAAATATTTTATCTGTGAGCTTTATTTACTTAGCTGTAAAATTTCCTTGGGCATTCACATCAATGCTGAACTTCTGAGCTATTTTTTTCATGAAAGTATATATATTCTATCATGAGTCAAAGAAGTAATAAAGTTACTCTGGGGGGGGGAAATCAAACATTAATACTACTTGTGGAATTTTCAAAAAAAGTTGATGTGAACCTGTTGAATGGGCCAAATAGCAACAACATATTGATAGTAAAATATGATTCCTGTAGAAATATGCAATCAGCTGAGTCCCGAGCTTTTTTCCTAACATGACTGTACCATTATAGGTCGGCCGGTGGGCAGAAACAGAGGCCGGCTCAACCGTGGTATAGTGGAGGAATGCTGTTTCCGGAGCTGCGATCTTAATCTCTTGGAAACTTACTGTGCAAAATCTGTCAAATCGGAGCGGGACCTCTCATCATCTTCTCTTGTAGTCTTACCAGCACTAAACAAGGTAAGATGGTATCTAAGTAATAGGATGCATTTTGAAAAACAGAATGCCGTGAGACAACAGGACCCTTATCGCCAATATCTGCTGCATTTGCAGTTATTACAACAAACAAGACCACGGTGTAATGTAACCAACAAAACAATAAATCACCGTGTATGAATACACAATATAAGCAGATATTTATATATAATGCTTTTAGAATTCAATAGTCAGCAAGATTTCAACTATAACATCTTAAATGCGATCTTAGGCTTGGCAGTACATGTGAAACATTACAGTATAGTCTCAGACAAACAACGGATTTCTAGTATAAGTCCGTTTACGAATCCTTCTTCAGGTTTGTCGTCTGTATTCTTATCTTCAATAGAATAGAGTGCTGCAAGCATTATTTCACAATGTAAATTCTTATACAGTTTTTTATACGTTATCACGTTTAATCTGGTGACTGGGGAGCTCCTATCATGCTCTCATGTGACAGAGTCTACAATGTGATATTTGGCTCAGCTTCCCTCAGACGTTATGGCTGAATACCACTTCATGAGACATGTACAGTTTTTAAATTCTCAAACCTGCATTTTAAACAAACCCTCTGGGAATTGGGATCAACGGTTCAATAGCTGAGTCTTAAAGTAAAAAGAAAGAAAAAAGAAAGAACTATTGGATAACCTCTGGCATCTCTATTGGCAGCTAGAAAGTTGAATTGGAAGTGTAGCCTGAACTCAGTGGGACTTACATCCCATGTTAAACTTAACATTGCTGGGCCTCTCCTTAATTAAGAATCTTATTTGTTGCTTGCCTTTGCTTCTGTCACAGAGTGTTAATTTGGGGAAATTAACTCTGGTCCCTGCCACACGGCAGGAAAAACATCGGCCAAAGTGCGGCAAATCAGAGCCGCACCAAAGTAGAGACGCCACGGCGGGATCCCACGGATCCCCTGAGCCGCGGCACCGTTGCTCCCCGGCACGATCAGATGCCAGGGAGGAAGCTACCGTCGGGAGGGGGAGCCTGCCGAACTGCGCATGTGTGAGCATGCGCAGTTTGGCCAGGCGCCGTGGATGCGCCGCGAAAGGACACGCCGGCGATCCCACAGCCAGCTTTGATGCGGCCTTCCCGGACGAACCACCATGGTAGGTGGTTCATTTTTGCTGCGGGGTTTCGGGTGGAAGGGCCGGATCGGGAACGGGCGCGCAATGCTTCCCAGATGTTGCAGTGGGATCGCGCCCATTTGCTGCGGCCCCGATCCGTTCCTCTCCCGGCCCAAAACCTCTCGTGTGACCGGGGCCTCTGTTCAGTTACTGAGGAAAGGATATTTTACATGTTATGCAATAGCCAATATATTTTTCTTGTCAGAAACAAGCTCACATTTTACATGTATCTGTAAAATAGCTGTATAAGAAACAGACACAATATAAAACAGTATAAGAAGACTTTGAAGTTTTCAGCAAAATTGATGACTGTTAGGTTAGCCACGAAACAAATTCGGTGGAACATATTCAAGTATGCACGAATTTTTCAGCTGTGTACCTTTGTGCTGAAGAGAATCACTTGAGTTCACAGCCAGAAGTTGGTCAGACTTTGTAGTGATGAATTAAAGTATCAGATGAAAAGTCTAACTTTATTTCTCTTCCCTTTCTCCCCCCCTTTTCCTTCAGGATCCTTTTCAAAAGCCTTCTCATCCCAAGTACTCAAAGTATGACATATGGCAGAAGAAAAGCTCACAGCGCCCCCAAAGAGGGGTCCCCAACATGGTCCGTGCCCGCAGGTATCGATGGCAGACTGAAGGACTGCAAGAATCTGAGGAATCTAAGGCCCATCGTCCTTTGGTTGTCCTCCCTACCCAGAAGCCGCTTGCTGTGCAAACCACCTCAGAAACAACAAGCACCCTGAAGTGAACTGTGACAATTAGCAAAATGGATTCTTTATTTTTTTCCCAATCTTATGGGAGGCATTCCCAGACTTGGCCCCACCCTTTTCTCTCCCCCAAACCAAGGCAGAGTGGGGGAGGGGAAATGCCCTTTGACACCAAGGAACAACAACAAGGGGCACTGTAACACCAAACAACTGACTTAGAAAGAACAGGATTACAGTGTTGTCAGCAGCAGCATTTCTGTGGCATTGTCCTTAATTTTTTTTTAAATCTTCTATTTGTTGGTTTTTTTCTTCATTTCCTACCCAGTTTTACAGCCTTTGCTTAAAAAGGACCGTTAAGGCACTTGAACTGCTTAATATTGGGCCACTGCTTTTCAACCCATGTTCCAAACACAGAAGAACAAGAGAAGATAATGAAATTGAAAGAAGCCCAATGTGTATTTGTCTTGACAATAAACGTGAAAAGGGGGGTTAGGGACATCTGAGGGTTTTAAATTCTGGCCTCCTCTCCACCCATTTTTTAAAAAGAACCACAACCACAGTGTGTTTTGGAGGGGCAGGTTGCACGTTTTAAGAACCGGAGAGGAAATGAGGCCCACTACCTTTTTTTTGTTGTCGATTAATTACACAATTCCAAATGTATTTGCACCTTTAAAATCACCGAGGAAGTGACAGAAAGAAGAAAGTGTGAACGTAGGTTCACTTTAATGGAGGAGACGTCTGCATTGCACATTTGCCACGGATTTAGTTGAATATATAAAATATATATTATATATAACTTTTTTTTTTTGGCAGAAAAGCACTATTTTTAATGGGACCATTTTTTGTGTAGTAACTGAAGAGAGGTTGTAATGTTTAAATGTTGTTATGGTGCTAATGTAAGTTGGAAGGGGGGAAGCAAACCCAGAAAATTACAAGAGGGTGGGGTGGGAAGGACAAGATCTCGAATACTGAACTTGAAATTTTTAGCTTTTCGTTTTAGGAAAGTGTGATAAGTGTGTTCTTTATTTTTTTTTTCTCTTCTGAAATATAGCTTGGTCATGACCATATGAGCTAATTGCCTTTCACTCATATACAAAATACGCACGCACATGCAGAAATACATAAATACAACTATATGCATTTTAAATCAACTTTTTCCCCCTTTAAGTCTTTCACACCGTCCTTAGTATCCAGAACTGGAAGCATGCCTATTGCAAAGGCATGTGCTTTGTCAGTAATCCCATTCTATTCCATGGAACTATTCACTGTACATAGAGCAGCTATTGGCCTTTGCGGGGTGAGTGTCAGCATCCTTCCACTAACAACAGTCATTTTCGGTCTCCCTCTGCCACCTTCTCACGGACCTGATGCCATATTTTGTTAAGTGAGAATTTATGTTTCTAGGGTTGCCAAATCCTGGGGGAGGCTCCATCCTGGTCGGAAGCCGGCTGTGTGACGTCAGACGTTGCTGACATTGGGGCGTGGCCGAGCTCGTCGGGGGGTGACGCAGCTTTGGTGGCGGGGTTCCCCCCGGGCCGCGATTCCGCTGGGGCAGAACTCGGGGCTCCGAAGCGGGGGATTCCCCACCCCCCGGGGTCATTTGGCAACCCTATATGTTTCAGATTAGGTAAGATTGTACATGGTGGCTGCTTGAATGACCTTCCTCCGGATGAATTGCTCAGATAACGGACCATCTAATTCTTTCGCTGCTTCATTTTACCAGCTTCCTTGTAAAAAAAAAAAGAAAGAAAAAAAAAGGAACCATTCTTTGGGTCATTTTATAATGGCAGCAACAGGTCATCTACTTAATACACATGAAACATCCTGCTTCTCCTCCCCCCTCCGCCCCCGAGGAAAGAAAATGTTAGAATTGTGTCTTGAGCACTAAAGTTCCAGAGGGGAAGGATCATAATATAGCAAGTCTAGAGAAAGGTAGGTCATCTTCATTGCCTCAACTCCTGAGATGGAGGAGAAGTTTAAAAACTCCTTGTCCTATCCTTTGAGGTTCCAAACAAGGAATCTGAGCGGATATTCAGGGACGGGAAAGGTTAAAATCCAGTTCTGTTTAAAGCTCAGGAATAGAGGAGGGCCAAAGGTGATAAAAATGATACATAATCGCCTGTCTGCTTGTAAGAAGAGGGGAAACCAATGCCCCCATCATATATATTCAATTGCTTAGAGGAAGGGGGGCATTAATCAGTTCTGTACCTGCTTTGCCTTATATAGCCAAACATTTAAAAAAACATAAAGACTACTTGAACTGTATTTTTTAAAGAGGGGGTAGGTTTTTTTAATGTATCCATTTTTTTTTAATTGTTAACTTGCAATTTTGAGCCATTAAGCCATTGAGGGGTTTGCTTTTCCATGGCACTGCAAGACACAACTAAGCCCCAATCAGTTAAAAAATGATTTAAAACGTAATAATCCCAAGTTAAGAAAAAAATGAATGGGGAGGGGGAAATGACGGGGTTTTTTTAGACTTACATTAGCAGAACAAAGCGTTGGTAGAAGCTTTTTACTGAGAAACCTGACAAGTCCCCCCCCCCCCAACAAGCAACTAAAATATATGGTTTGGTAGAATAGAATGAATGAGAACTTTCTGCGAGATATAGCACTGATGAAACAGCAAAGAGAATTTGTCTGGGCTCAGTTTTGTAATATTATTAACAGAGCTGACCCTGATATTGCAAAGAAGTATGTGCTTGCTTTGAGCTTATGGAATATTAATCAAAGTTGACGAAGTATCCATACAGTTAAAATGTACCATTAAGTGATTGTCAACTGGGGGAAATCTCAATAGCCAATACCTTTTAGGGAGTGGAATGCTCAACAAAGAACAAGTATATGCTTGTAAATTTGACTTTGGAATGCCTGCATCTTGGAAGTTGGACGTGTCCTTCTAGCTGTTACAGAAGAACCCAAGTTCATGGTTCTCTTTTCAGTTTGTGTAATCACTTACCTTAATGCCAGATAGGAACAATAGTTTTAAGTATGCTTTGATTACGTTTGCATTAAAAGTTAAATATAGACTCTATGCCAAATTAGTCAAAATCTTAGGCCCAGATTCCGTGTTAATATATACCAGGAAGCTTCCAGCTCAGTATACTTAAAATATTTATTATTATTATTATTATTATTCAACAGAGAACTCACGTTGATTCCTTTCCCTGAATACATCCAGGTCTAAACTGAGTAAAAGAAGTAGAGCGGCATACAATTTGTACAAGGAGACAAAACCATAGAGAATTGGGTAGTATTTTGGCTACTTGGCTTTCTTTTTGCAGGCTTACATGTACTCTTCAGGCTACAGTCCTATGCATACTTACTATGCCTAGTTCTATGTAGCTTGGGTCTGTCACTGGAGTAAATATGCATAGGCTCAGGCAACGTGCTTTATGCAAAATCAATGCCAATGTGACCAGAAGGAGTGTGTTTTTAGGGCTGGGATATTCAAACAGACCCAAAAAACACGTGGTTGGTTGTTCAAACCATCTAGGGGCCTTAGAATTATCAAGCAGAAAGCAATTTAATCAAATTGGCCCAGCTGATCTGCAGAATCTGTACTAAGGCATGCAATATTCAAGTCAGTGGCAGGAAGGGCATTGTCCTCTTCCAGTCCTGCTGCCATGAGAAAAGGTATACAGTACAGTTGATAGTGTTTCTTTGGCACATACATTCTCCGGAAAACGACGAGGGAGAGATGGCTAATACTACGGTGGAAGATGTCCTGAGCACAGTCTTCTAGAAGCAGTGTCAAATCCCGTTATTGCCGTAGCACAATTAATTCCTGGGGCATATAATTTGCAAATCACTATTTTATTTTATTTTTAAGAAGGGGCTTCCAAAACAAAATGTTACAATGCATACCTGATCTGTTCTCTTCCACCCCTCAGTGCACAGCCACAGCATTCGAGGGAGGGAGCTTGGTTCCCCCAAACTGGTTCCACTGTCTTACTGTCTCATAACAGCTTCATTCATTTCATCCTGCCTGATTGCAAAGGCTCAGTCTTTTGGTGATGGACCTAGCTGCCTCTGCACTAAATGAAGGGAAGAATTGTATTTGTTGTTTTTTTAAAGAACTTTTTTTGTCATTGTATGTATTATTGTCTGCTCAAGTTTTATATGGAGGGGAGGGAGTGGGGAAGGGGGGGAAATGGGTGTTAATGTATCTTGAAATATTTCACTTGTGTGCACTCAATATGCAAGAGTCAAACTGCCCGGAATTCTGCACCTATTGTACTTTTCATCCGTAATACAGTATCAATAAAGCAATCAGCTATAATGTTCTTCTGCCTCAAATGACTTTTTTTTAATAAAAAAACCCCAACAAACTGACTTTCTTTTTTTAAACCCAGAGCAAAAACAGTACCCTTTTATCCTACTTTCCCCCCAAAACGATTGGGGTTAATTTGAGTTAATCAACTGATCAGGAAAAATAAAAGCCGGTGTTATACTTGTGCCTTTGTCTAGTAGCAAGTAAATTTATTACAGCCATTGACCAGTACACAGTAAAAGGTTGTTGCCTTTGTCAGAAGTTTGATATGCAGAAATCAGCATGATGTGGTGCTAAAATGTTATTGTTTTGTAATGGTTGCCAATCAAGATGCCTGTCAGGGGACAGCTACACAAGTCATTTCAAAAGTTGGCAGTCCTGGGTAATACACATTTGGGAGGTGGGTGAGATTTTATTCCATTGGAGCTCTCTGAGGTTTGTTAGGCTAAGAGATTATAATTTGCCCAGGGGTATCCGCTGAGCAAGAAGGGAGCACTCACTGGAGAAGACCCTGATGCTGGGAAAGATTGAAGATCAAAGAAGACAGGGACGGCAAAGGATGAGATGATTAGACAGTGTCATAGATGCAATGAACATGAAACTGAGCCAACTTCAGAAGACGGCGGAAGACAGGAAGGCCTGGCGGGATCTGGTCCATGGGGTCGCGAAGAGTCGGACTCGACTGTGCGACTGAACAACAACAACATCCTCTGAGCAAGTTCAGTGATGCTCATCCAAGCAAAGTCATTGTAACTGTGTAGATTGAATTGACATAACCTTGGGAGAGATGGTTCACTTGGTACAGGATCCAGGCAGATCGACAGGAGATTAAATAGTAGGAGGCCTGCAACTGCAAGTAGGAACCATACCACTTTATGGAATTATAAAAGCAGTTAAAAGGTCACACTTATCACCATCATGAACGAATTTCCACTCTTAACAACCATCACAGTATGGGTTGAGGAAAAATCTTTCTTAAATAGTCCTGTTTTTTGTGACATACTTCTGAACAAAACAATCCTGTGGAATACTAAAAGAGTAACACATTCATTGTGGCACAAGTTTTCACGTGGGAGACCGCTTCTCCACTTTTGTCTGATACTGCCAACTGGCCTTGAAAAATGATCTGTCCCTTTAATAGAAGTTTAATAAGCATCAATGGGCACTCGAAGTTTTCCATATCATGGAACTGAATGTCACTGGATGAAACAAATTAAGGGGACAACTAGTGGTACCACTTTATAATTTAGCAATCCTACTTTTGTCAAATATCTGAAGTGTTACATGTAATAATAAGAAGGGTGATCTTAAATGCTACTTCTGGAAATAGCCATTTGTATCCAATTGAATTTGTTTGGAGGAAGAGCACAAGTTCTTTGTATTTCTTTCTCTGTTGTCTTACTTCAAATGGAATATCCTTTAGCATTCTGACCGCATTCTCCCCCACCATCAGGGGTGTCACAGCCACTGCTTTCAGGAT